AGAGGGAAACGCCAATTGAAGAGATTTTCCCCAGAAAATCAAATAGCGTAGAATAGCAAGAAGAAGGAGAAAAATAAGAGATGGAAGAATAGAAGTCAGGGAAACAAAATGTCAGGGCTATCGAAGTAGGTTCCAAAGGTAGAAGGAGGGGGAATTTAGAAAGGCAAATTGAAAAAGAATTGGGGGCTAGAAGTGCAAGTCAGGAAAGCCAGAGGGAGGAGTTAGTGTCGGACTTTGATATAAGAAGAAGAAATTCGTTGATTAGAAGGGAGGCAGGGGAAATTCGGGAATTAAGTGAGAAATTGAGACCGAAGTTCGAGGAAGAGAAGGAAGAAGTGATTCAAAAAATCAGCCGATAGAGGAGGTGAAACTAAGGTAATAATTGAAGAGATTTAAGCTCGCTGGTTTTGACAGTTGTCAAGGGGAGGACTGGGGTTGGCTGCCTCATATACGTAACGTGGAACTTTGGTCCTTTTGAGAAGGCCCTGTTTTAAGGGAAGTAAGAATAAGTTTTCAGCATCAAAGATTCACGAAGAGGACTTAAGCAAGACAGAAGAGCAGCAAGTAGAGGCTGGGAACAGTGGATGCACTCGCTCATAATCTTTATCATTTAATTTCTTCACCCTAAAACCGAAGTAATTTAATTTTTTGATTTAAAAATTATTCTAATTTAATATTTATTTTAACTGCATCTAATTTGGCTGTTAAAAAATGACATCTAATCAAAAATATTTTTAATTCATTTATATCACTTCAACAGAGGCCGAAAAACATTAAAAAGAAAAAAACCAAGCACGTTTAAGCCCAAACAGCTAGAAGAGATACGTTACCTCTTATTTGAAGCATTCCATTGTTCTGCAGCTTTGGATTTCTGAAATCAGCAGCAAAAAGATCGACGAGCGTCATATATATCAAGATCCCAGCAGATGCCCCGTTGATCCTTTAACAATAAGCTCTGATTGTGTGTGTTTGATATCCTTATTCCTATAGCAATTCTAAATGGCATGGAGTTGTTAGACAGAAAAAGAGTGCCATCACTGCAACTGCCCCCGACTCGAATTGTGCCTACAACAACAATAACATAGTGTTCCACGAACTCATACTCCTATGAATTTTTGTTTACTTTTGTACTACCTAATGCTACCATTAAGCTTGCTTATGTAAATTGAAAATCCTGGAAACAATATAGAAAAACACCAAAACAGTTGACAATTGAGTTATCATTCAATGCATTAATATTATAAATTCCCCCATTTATAATAAGCTCCTATAAAAAGTGCTCCCACCAACCCATTTCATTACCATTTGACCAATGAAAATTTAGCATTTCATGGGATTAACGTATCACCTGCGAAATGCATCCACCAAGTCACATGAACTCAAAAAACTAATGAAACGTCAGTGCAGCAACCAAAGGCTTTATGGTCTTTGGACTTTCGTCCATCTTTGGGTAGCTCATGAATAATGCATTTTTTGGAAGTTGTAATACCAAAATTGTTGATGAGGCAATGACTTAATCTGTCAATATATAAATGCAATGTTTTGAAAGAATGTCGACATAACCTTCATTAAGAATTAGAGAGTTCAAAGTTAAAACCAAACTTAAATTGGAAAATTTCACACATGATGTTAACATAGATAATCGGTTTTATATTTTACAATAATTAAAATATTGGCCTATCACGCATGAATATATATATATATATATAATCTTATCTCTTTAACATCTGAAAAAAAACCCATTATTATCATTTTCCCTTTCTCATAATTATAATCATCACTAAAGTATAGTTGTTAAATTAAGATACTTATCCGTGAGCATCCGAACATTTAGTTCATTGGTTGATGCATTATCCCTCTGCTTAAAAAGCATGTTCAAATTCCTCCTCCTCCAATTATTAAAAAAAAATACTTATCTGTGTTTTGAAACTTTATTTTTTAGTATCTAGTATTGTATAATAAAATATAATAAAAAATTTTAATATTAATTATAAATAGAATTTATACATGTAAAATAAATAAAATTTAAAAATGTTATATTTTTTAATATAATTGAAGATTATAAGACATAAATTGAAAAGATGATTATTGGTTAATTTAAACTCTCAATATATTCTTTATAATATTAATTTTTAAATAAAATATATATTTTTCATATTAATTTATTAATTAAAAATTTAAAAACAATTGAAATCAAAACAGAAAGGGTAAATACCCTTATCCCTAAGTCTTAATCAAAATTATACAGAAATTCATTAATTTTCAAAATAGACCATTCGTTCCAAAAAAATAGGTTCCACTAGTTACATAGGTCAAATCCTTAATCAATCGTTAGTATTCCGTCAATTTGATGACACAGTAATATTAAAAAATATTACCTTTTATTATTTTTAAAAATTATTATTATATAATTTTATTAATTAAAAAAAGTCTAAATCTGGTGCTCCTTTAAGAGCTCTAATGCTTCCCTTAGAGAGCCCGATTTAGGGCTCCTTAAGGGAGCACTGGTGCTCCTCTGGGGATCCTGATTAGGGCTCCCTTGGAGAGCCCAATCTGGTGCTCTCCAAAGGAATGCTGGTGGTCGGTCGATGCAAAGGCCACCGCTAGCTTACCTAAGAGAAGAAAAAACAATGAAAAAAAAGAAAAAAATTAAATATTTCATATTTAATATTAACACTGTTAAGACGTTTGGGACGGAGTGTCAATTTTAAAAACTAATAGACTTTCGTGTAATTTCGATAAAAATTTAAAAAGTGAGGAGGGTATTTTTTGTAAAAGTGGAATATTTGATTTTTTTAAATATTTTTTGTTTAAAATCTAAATTTTAAACATTAAAACTCAAAAAAAATTACTTCTCATTTTTTAACTCTAAATAAATAAATAAATAAAATTATTTTTAACAATTAGTTAAAATTAGGCTTATCAAAATATATAAACTACATCGTATGATATGCCCTGTTTATTAAAATATGTATTGTACATCTGATAATATACTTTCAATAGTTGATCAAATACGACATAACTATCGATACGTATAATTTTTATTAATATCATATTATATCGTTTGATACATATCATATATTATACGATATTGATAACTATAAGCCCAAGTACTTCCTTTGCATGTAAATCTAAGCCAACAATACCTTGTGTTTGTTAATCCTTTAATAAATATGTCGGCTTTATAACTTTAAGTACAACTTTATATGCAAAAAGATGAGATGCAACTTGTGGTTTGAGCAAAATCATACATTTTGATATCTAGGTAAAATTATATA